AAGTTGACTAGAAGTTTCACAGTGAAACATCCATAGCACATGCCAGCATGACGCACGGGTTGGTGTGTTCAGTTGGAAATCCGAAGGTTCAGTTTGCAGTCCTTGTAAAAGCATGTTTTTATTTTTACCGGTGCTTTTGGGTCGCTTTCTAAACGAATATTTTCAAATGGCAAGTTTTTTTAGCGAACTTCAGTGACTTTGAGCGTATCTGTCTGTCTGTCTGTCTGTCTGTCTGTCTGTCTGTCTGTCTGTCTGTCTGTCTGTCTGTCTGTCTGTCTGTCTGTCTGTCTGTCTGGCCGCCTATTACTTTTAACTCTCCTGGCAGTTTCGAAAATGGTATCAATACCAAATGGTATCAAAACCAAATTACAGGGACTTTCTAGGTGTGCCAAACATGAGCACTGCATATTTTTTAAACACAACTCTTGAAGAAGTATTGTCTGTATTTATGTCACTAAAAAACACTACTGCTCGGGACATAGATGACCTACGAATTAAGCCTATTAAAGCAGCACTTGATCTTTTGTTACCTCTTCTTACCCACCTGTTTAATATCTGCTTATCTACGGTAGTTTTCCCAGAAAGAATGAAGCATGCGAGAGTTAGTGTCTTATACAAATCTGGTGACCGAAATATCTTTTCTAATTATCGTCCGATCTTCATACTTGCTGTTATATCTAAAGGGCTAGAGAAAATCATATAGCAACGTGTCATGTATTTTTGTGGAAAGTACTCTATATTATCACCGCATCATTTTGGCTTCCGACGGGGCATGTCAACGGAACTGGCTCTCCTCACACAAAAAGAACTCATACTTATCTCATTTGAAAAGAAACTGTTAACACTGGGTGTTTTATTGACTATTCCAAAGCGTTCGATAGAATCAACTACGAAGTACTCTATGCAAAATTGCGTCATTATGGTTTTCGGGGAACCCCACTTGACTTTCTGAAATCTTATTTATCACAAAGAAAGCAATCTGTAGTTATAAATGACAGCCAATCCTCCCTACTAACCATAACGTGAGGTGTACCTCAGGGCAGCATATTAGGGCCCCTACTGTTTAATATTTACATAAACGACATAACAAGTGTCATGCAAATATGTGCATTTTAATTTTATGCAAATTACACTAGTATATTTTTTCATGGTAATGATTAGGGTAAGCTTGCAGACTCAGCCAACAACATCCTTAATGACATCTTCATACTGAGTACTGCAAATTATTTAATGATCAACACAAAGAAATCCAAAGCTGTGGTATTTGCACCGGTTCAGAAGGCTGTCTGTCGTGGTTTGGATGTATATCTTGGGCCCGAAAAATTTGACGTTGTCAAAGAAGTTTCCTCATTAGGAGTAATTTGAAATGAAAATCTTACTTGGGACGAACACGTTAATAAAGTAACTAGAATTATAGCTAGGACATGTGGTGCTCTCTCTAAACGTCGACAGATACTTCCAGCAAACATTAAACCTTTACTCTATAATGCGTTGTTTTCATCTCGCATAAACTATTGTAGTCTAGTGTGGTCAGATACATCGAAAGCAAATCGGAACAAAATATTTTTACTGCAGAATAAAGCGATTCGTCATATTGCAAACGTACCATACGACGCACATACAAGTCATTTATTCAGAGAATATAAGATTTTACCAATCGATCACATACACAGCTTCGACCGTATTATGAAATACAAACCAAGCTTGCTATCAAACAACGCTTGTTTTCTTAAACTGTGTAACCTCAGAAAAAAATACACAATCCTATTATGACATTCGGAAAAGGCCTTCCTGGTTCGTTCCTTATTCGCGAACTAATCACGGTTTGAGAAGACTTGAACACTGTATTCCAGCTTGTTTTAACATGTTTGAAAATAAAAACATCGCCATCTTCAATATACATAAAAAACAACTTAAGAACCTTCTCATCCAAAATGGCGGTGTGTAGTTTAGCTTCTTCTAGTTGTCCGGCTACAATACTATATGTAAAGAAACACCCTATAATAGTGCTCGTGTGTAACATGGCATCCTATGATGTTTGCTTTCTTTGACATTTTTTTTTGTTGCTTTCTTTTACGAGTAAAACATGCCACATTTCACTCGTCAGTGTTTCCCTTGTGCATTAAAACTTGTGCTTTTCGCATACGCAGTGTTGTACACGTTGTATAATCATTTTGTAATACTTTGGTAGCCAATTAGCAACGTGTGCATTGTTTCATGATTGACCGCACGCTGTTTTCTTTTGTTTTTTGTTTTTTTCTCTTTGTGGTTTGCTTATTTTATGTAAACCTGAAACTGATGTAATTTTGATGCATTTTCTTTTCATTTCCTAATTTCTTGAAGTTTTGAAAATCGACGTCAAATTGTTTTTTAATGTTTTGTGCTCTGCGAATTTTTGTAATGCCAAGTGAAAAGGGGTAGGAGCCTCGTCAAGCTGCTAGCATAGCAGCTTTTTGCTCTTATCCTTGCGTTTTCTTTTTCGCAACTCTGTGAAGAAAATGCTCAATAAACTGGAACTGAAACTTGGTATGGTACAGCATGACTGTATGAAGAGCATCATCGACTACTCATAACATGAAATTCATGACATGTATAGCATAAATGTCAAGATTTACAATTCTTTGTACTGCAGCACTTGCGGTGGTTTCGTTCACATGGCGTGTTGAAAAACTGGTATTGTATGACATCACTGCATGCCGAACACAAGCGAGCAGCCCTAACACAAAAATCATCAGATGCGTGTCGTGTAACAAGACTACACGCCACGCTCATGAGACGCTCGCGGCCATATCGCTAGCGTCTTATATACCGAATTTCGTATTACGGTATGCGAATCGATGATGAAGGTATATGACTGGTGCAAACATGATAATCATGATAAGCGTGTCATGTAACAACATGACTACATGCCACACTCTTGATGCGCTCGCGGCCATTTCTAGTTTCACATATGCCAAATTTTGTACTACGAGACGTCAATGAATGACGAAGGTATGTGACTGGTGTAAACATGATAATCATGAGATGCGTGTCATGTGAGATTTCGACTACATACCACAGTCAAGGAGCCGATACGTTTCGACATGACGCGGTGCGCGTGCTCGCCGGCGTTCATTTCGTCCCGTCAAGCCGGCGTTGCCCTGCCTGGTGCCGGTCCTTGCCATATACGCGAAGGCGCGCGCCGCGCTGCGTACCTTTGACGCATGCGCGTTTCAGCGCGTCCAGCGTACCTCCTGTCACGAAAAGTGGGAGACGCAGTGTGGTCTGGGTAACGCATCAGCGCGAAATGCAATATGTCGCATTTCGTGCCGGCTGCCGTCGGGCACAGCGGACACTGGTCGCACCGGTCGCGCCTGGCGTCAGACTATAAATTGTTCGCGTTTTGCTAACGTAGCGTCGCTGTGCCCAGCGTGCACGCACGTCAATGCTACATCGGAGTATACTTGTGCCCTTCATGATGCGCTCGCGCCATAACACACAGCAAGTTTAGTGTTACGTGACGCCAACGGAAGATGAAACTATAGGATTGGTGCAAACATGCTAATGCTGATAAGTGTGTCATTCAAGAAATCACTGGCATACCACGCTCATTGCGTGCTCGCGGTCATTTCGCCTAGCTCTACATATAATAAACTTGGTTTCACGTGACCTGAATAGATTTGAACACGTGACGACACGGTATCACGTGATTATACATTCCAAACATGATAATCATGACACGTAAGTCAGGTACGGCATTTTTTACCTCCACCTCGTAACATTGTGCTCATTTTAGAGTGCATGTCTACCCTCCTCATTCGTGCTTCGCATATCGTCGATTCCTACTGTGTGTGGAATCTGCCAATTTTTATTGTATAGTGATAGGAACCATATGAAAGCCCTCACCTGGATTTTCGTCATCCACGTCGAATTAATAATAATCCTCGAAAATTCACAGCATATTCACGGAGTGACTGATGATGAGTGGTACGAGGCGTTCGTTCGTTCATCCTTCTGTGTGCCTGTCTATCCGAGCATGTGCCCATGCGTCCGATCGCGTTCGAGATACCCGACGGGACTCGAGCCAAGGAAGCCGAGCGCAAGCGCCTTCAACGCGTCCGCCCCTCTGCTCCATCCGAGCCCCATCATTGATATTCAGAAAACTGAGGGAGGCATTCGTTCGCGCACTCACGCAAAGCGTGCGCAGTAGCCAATCGGAGAGTAGCGGCAGTATGGAAACTGGCGGCAAGGTAAGGCCATCTTGGAAATGAGACAAGTGGTCATGTCTCTCTTTCTCGCATTTTGTTCTCTCAGCTACGCGTAACCAGTGACAAAGTTAGACTATAAGGAGCTTCACTCCTAATAGAGTACGGCGCGCGCAATAGAGCGTAAGACCTCTGCACGCGAGTGCGAGGCGTTGCACTTGAAATTCGCAGACGGCTGTGACTTCAGTAATGAAGACCAAACTGATTCAACTGCAACAATGCAGCTTGTCGGTATGTTGGCCGCGCTGGTCTTCTTCGGTCTGAGAAGCAAGCACGGTGGAACAGAAGGATGGTAGAGTGGCGCTGTCGATTTATAGTGTGTGGCATTTTTCGACGAACTGTAGCAACGTTGACGCCAGCTTTCTGATGGTCTTGTTGGGACACGGTGTGCGCGCTGTAGAAGAAGACAACCGCGCGGCGTGAATACCAAACGTCAACTCTTTGCATTCAGGTTCCGGAGAAGCAGTGGAGGGTGGTGCTGCCTGGCGGCTTTGGCTCAACACCCTTGGCTTTGCTTGGCTGCCGCCACAGCACTCCCCCCTTAGTGAGTTGCCGAACGGAGTTAAAGGTCCAGGCGAGTGGATGTTCTTGATAGCCGCCTGCTGTGCGTAAGGCGGGAGGGCACCTCGTGGACTTGGGCTGGCAGGGAAGCTGGGCGTCTTGGCGATGATTCTCTTAGCGGAGACAACACGGTGTCGTCATGGTCCATGTGTGCTGGTTTGATGCTGTCCAACGACACTATCTCTTCATGGCCACTTATCTTGACGTGAATTGTTTATTGCCAGGGTGAAGGACTTCAAATGGTCCATCATAGGGTGGCTGAAGAGGTCGCCGAACCACGTCATGTCGTACGAACACATGTGGGGACGAAGTGAGCTGCGGGTCCACGTTCACCACATGCGAGCCTGGCGGCCGTGGAGCTACCGCGTGCAGTTTGCTCATGACATTGTGTAGGCGAAGTGTATAGTCGCTGCAGTTTATCGATGCCTCCTCTGAGCCACGCGCAAAGAACTCTCCCGGCAGCCTGAGTGTCGTGCCGTAGACTAGCTCAGCGGCACTGGAGCTAATGTCCTCTTTCAAGGTGGACCGCATACCCAAATGTACCAGTGAGAGGGCCTCCACCCAGTTGTGTTCTTCGGTTGCCGTGAGCGCAGACTTCAGCTGGCGGTGAAAGCACTCCACCATGCGATTGCTCATGGGGTGGTACGCCGTCGTACGTATGCCTGATGTGCCCATGAACTGACTCATGGCAGTGAAAAGGTCTGATTCGAACTGTCCGCCACGGTTTGTTGGTACTGTGATAGGCACCCCAAAACGGGCCACCCAATGGTACAGGAAATACTCACAACCGTCTCGTCAGTGATGTCCATGATAGGGATGGCCTCCGCCGAACGGGTGAACCTGTTGACACATGTCAGCAGGTAAGCCTGCCCGTGGCAGGGTGGCATTGAGCCGACGATGTCCAGGTGGACATGTATAAAGCGAGAATCCGGAGAGGTGAGTGTTTCAGTGCTGTCGAAGTATTACGTTGTATCTTGGAGTGCTGGCAAGCTACAAATTCACGTGCCCAGCGTCGGAAGTCCCAATTTACGCCTGGCCAGACAAATCTTGCTTTCACCAGTCTTTGGGTGGCTCTAATCCCCGGATGAGACAGTCGGTGCAAGGACTCGAATGCATGGCGACAGAGGCTCGCGGGCCACGAATGGGCGAATTTCACTGACGCTTTTGCCACAGCAAACCTTGTCCTCGGATCCGGGAATGGGGATTCCCTCAAGATTCAGGGCAGTCGTCGCGGTCAACAGGTGCTTCAGTTCGTCATCGTCACGTTGAGCGGCTGCCAAAGCGGGAAAATTAAGTGTGGGCGAAATGGCGTTCACAGGATTCCGTGAGAGGGTGTCTGCTACCTCGTTGTCGCCGCCTTTGACGTGGCGGATATCAGTCGTAAACTCCTATATAGGACATCTGGCACCGTTCACGTGCTGTGTGCGTTCCACCGTCGGAGCTTAGCGAGCGCAATGCATAAGTAAGCGGCTTGTGGTCGGTGAGGACAAAAAACTCTACGCCTTCTACGAAATAGCAAAAATGTCGTATGGCCGCGTACACGGCCAGCAGTTCTCTCCCGAAGGCGCTGTAGTGGCGCTCGGTAGGCGTTATATTTCTTGAAAAGAAGGGAATCGGGCACCAGATTCCCCCGACTAGCTGCTGTAATACAGCCCCAATGGTTGTATTGGAGGCATCCACCATTACACTTTGTGGGACACCGGACCTGGGGTATTCAAGCAGTGAGGCGTTCGCCAAGGCGTCCTTGACCTCGCAGAAGGCTTCTTTTGCTTCTTGAGACCAAGAGAGAGTGTCTGAGCCATTTCGTGAAGTGTCCCGCAGGTCGTAGAGAGGTTAAGGATCTCGGCACAGCGGGGAATAAAACAGCAATAGAAGTTTACCAAACGCAGAAATTCCCGGAGCTGGCACTTGGCGCTCGGCTGCGGAAATCCTTGCACGGCGTCAACCTTGTTGGGTTGAGGAAGAACCCCTCAGGCGGAGATGACTTGTCCAAGAAACGAGAGCTGTCGCACGCCAAGCTCGCATTCGACCATAATCACGGTGACGCCATGCTCCACTAAGCGCTGAAAGACGATGCGCAGATGGTTCACGTGCTCTTCCGGAGTGCTGCTGGCGACTAGAAAGTCGTCAAGATAAGCTTGACAGAAGTTGAGACCACGCATAGCACCTCCATAAACCACTGGAATGCCTGACCCGCGTTTCGGAGTCCGATTGGCATTCGGAAGAATCTGAAAAGTCCGAAGGACATTGCGATGGTGGTCTTCGGAACGTCCTCCGGGGCAACGGGAATCTAATAGTAGGCCTGCACCAAGTCGTTTTTCGAGAAGATAGTGGCACCGCGAAGCCTCGTAGTGACATCGCGTATGTACGGTACCGTGTACCTGTCTGGAGTCGTCACCTACTTCAGTGCCCTGTAGTCCCCGCATGGTCGCCAGTCTCCCGGCGTTGACTTTGGCACCATATGGAGTGGAGATGCCCAGGCGCTCGACGAAGGTTTGATGATCCCCAGCTCCCGCTCCCGCACGTGTTCAAACTCTTGTCGTGTGACCTTCAACTTCTCTGGAGGCATACGGCAAAGCCACGCGTGCATGGGTGGGCCGCTGGTGGCGATGTCGTGGCGTATCTCGTGCTTCGCCGCGGCGCTGCCTGGCAGCTGCCCTCGTCAACTCAGGGAACTCCTGCAGAATGCGAGTAAAACGTTCTGCATCAGACGGCCCTGAGCAAAGTGGGGCACAGCGCAGAGTCTTTTGAGGGATTTCCTTGCACAGTTGCCTTCGACAAGAGATCGTGAAGGTGGCGGTTGCGCACGTCGACGAGAAGGCCGAAGTGCCGAAGAAACTCTGCACCCAAGATGGCGAACTTCACTGCTGCCACAATGAAAATCCACCGGAACGTTCTGTTCAAGCCTAAACCGAGTGGCAGTAAGCGATGTCCGTAGGTGGCGATGGTTGTGTTGTTGACCACCTGAAGGTGGGTTGCACTGAGGACACGACAATAGGTGGACCCAATCGGCAACACGCTCACCTCAGCGCTGGTGTCCACAAGGAATCGAAGGCCACTATCGCGATCGGTGTAGGAAAAACACAGATGAACTCCGTTTGAGGGCCTCTGGGACACTGGTCGTCCTCAGTGCCAGCCACTCCCGTTTCCCGCATTGTCGCTAGGAGGGATGCATTTGCGAACAGCGTTGTCATACCTCCTGTAATACCATCAGGTTCCCTGTTGCGCTGCTGGACGCTGGCGCTCTTCGGGAGTGCTGCAGGCCTGCACCGCTGCGACGGTATCGGCGAAGCGGGATATCTGATCCCGGATATCATGCAGTGCGGTCGCAGGCGCTGTGGCCGGCGATGTCTGGCTGCAGCACTGCGACGAGTGGCGGAGTGACCGCCAGCACCGAGTCCGCGAGCTCGGTGAATGGAGACAGGCGTCTGTCGGCAGCTTAGGCACGGACCATGCGCACATTGACCGGAAGTCACTGTAGGAACAGCTCGCGAAGCAGTCTGTTGTCGGCATCGGTGGTGTTTGCGCCAGCCGTGTGCAACAGCTGCCTTATGTGGCGCAACAATTGGCTGGGGGTCCGGTCCCCTAGCTCGGTGTCGTGCAGTAGCTGCTGCAATCGCTGAGGCTCCAACGGCGTGATGCGGCTGATGAGCAGCTGTTTGAGCGTGCTGCACGCGTTCTCTGCAGGTGGAGCGACCAGCAGATCGCGTATTTCGCTCGCTACTGCCGCTGGGAGGCTTGCGACCACGTGGTGGTATGTTGTTTGCTCAGCGGCAATACGACGAGCAATGAATTGGGACTCCACCTGCAGGAACTATAGCTGCGGGTCCGCTGTCCAAAACGGTGGGAGCCTGATATCGACGGCGGAGATGGCCGGTGCATCAGGGGGGTCTCCAGGGCGTCGATCGCTCGAGAAAGGCAGTAAGACTTGTCTGGGTCACCACTGTTGGGACACGTGTACGCGTGGTAGAAGAAGACAACCGCGCGGCGTGAATCCCAAATGTCAACTCTTTTATTCGGGTTCCGGAGAGCAGTGGAGGGTGGCGCTGCCTGGTGCCTTCGCTCAACACCCTTGGTTTGTCTTGGATGCTGCCACAGTCTTGTCAGCCTCTCGATATGAAGAATGGTTTATGATCATTTGTTTAAATACCGCTAATTTTCTTTAATTTTTTTGCAGCACACTTTTGACGAAGCTGCATGTGGCCCATGACAATTCAAGCACTTGACAATGGTTGGTTTGCAGTCATCAGCAGAATACCTTTCTACGCAAGTAGTACACACTGTCTCATTTTTGCATACGGTTGTCACGTGACCCAGCCTCATGGAGCTGTGGCCCTCTAGTGTCACAGCTCCATGTGTCACAGCTCCATGTGATTCATGTGTCACAGCTCCATGTGTCACAGCTCCATGTGACTTCTAGTGTCACATCCTCGCTGTGACACTAGAAGGGCTAGGATACGAAAGGTTGCACAGAATGCCGAAAATAACCCCCCTTTACGTGATAAGGAAGAGAGTCACCCTTCAACACGATCTTCAAGCAGCCTGAGTTTCCCAAATGGGCAACTTTTTTGATGACGCTGGCTTCTTTTGCGGGTTTGACCAGAACATCGAGGTTCCTGCTGGGACTGGTAGTATTCAAATCGTAGATTACTCTTGTGGTGACGTTAGAGCTCACCGGTATGTCAGAGCGAACTTTCATTCCACCAAGCTCGTTGACGTCCGCAGTGTTTTGGGTGCTGCCTGTGTTCCTGCCGAGTACAAGGGGTGCTTTTGGGCCTTTTGGAGATTTTTTTATATTGATGTCGCAGATGTATTGATCGAAGGCGCATTTTCAATCTCTGGTGGAGAATGTTTCCACGACGATGGGCCTTTTCGCAATGTTCTTTTAGCCTGAAGAGTGGTTTCGATGAAGTTGTCTTTCGTCGTTGACAGTGTTGAAGTATACGTTGTCGTTTCTTGATTTCGTTGACTTGCTTGTGGTGTGGAATAAGTGACAGTAAAATAAACATGGCGAGTGAGCCAGGCCACGTCTCTCAGTCAGCATAGTGTCACACGAGTCGACAGGAAGAAGACCTGCCAGCCCATCATCAGTCGCTCATCATCTACGCAGTCCTCCGCATGACACCCTGAGCGCACATGGACTACCGTACAAGCACCTAGCATTACGCATAGACCAGCATCATGTCAGAAGCATCTACTGATTTTCTCATCCCCAAGTACACCGGAGCAGCGGACGATGGACCCGTACAAAACTGGTTGGACCTGTTTGAGTTCCACGCTACCGCTGAATCTTGGTTGGAACGGGAGATGGTTACGAACTTCAGTGACTACGTCACCGGTGAGGCATTTATATTTTACTTCATCCACATATTCAACAACGACAAGTCTTGGCAAAAGATAAAAGAAGAAATAATCGACTGGTTTCAAGACTCTAATGAAGATTCGATTAGAACACACAATTTCAGTGCATTCGAACTCAGTCATCACATCCATAAGCAGCCTTCACGCATTGGAGCACAGAGCATGAATTTACGATTCCTGTCAGGTGAAGTTAGCCACATGCTCATGGAAAGACCACGCTGCCATCCCAACATTCCGCCTTGTTGCTCATTTGCGCAAATATCGCCAATGCTTAACTCTCCGCTGCATAAAAGAATTGAATTTACTATTGACGACTCAGATGCATT